TTTCAGCTTTGTTTTCTTTTCGCACATAATCCCCACAGAAAACGATTTGGCAGAGGACATAATTTCCACATTATTATGGGGACTACAAACAACAAAAAATCCCAATGGGGATTATTTCCCCATGGACCGTGGACCGTGGACTTTCGAAAATATAAGCTACAGTCATTTCTAATTCTTTATGGGATTTAAAAACATTCTTAAATACACAAATTAAATTTTAAATATCTACTCTTAAAGAATATCCACCCAGCTCTAGAATGCATTGTAGCAAAATATATCTTCACTCTTGTTAACCATAAACTTTTGCTGCCATATCAGGTAAAGTCAAGGATATTGACTTTACTTGCTTTAATTGTAATTCATTTTGAACTGCCGTATTTGTTCATATTACACAGTGGCGGTCAATAAGAAAACAAGTAGAACTGCTGCCTTTTTCTCGCGAAATGCAATTAAATGTAAAAAAGAATAAGACAACAAAACTGAATTCCCAAAGACAAAACATCTTCATTCGCTGGCATTCGGTTAAGTCTATGGGCGGCGTGCACCATTTATACCCCATCCCCCAAAAGGGGGATCGCCTTTTTTGCTCCTTACACCAAGAATATATGTATAGACGTGTGTGTGCAGATGTTTATAGGTATTCATTCCATTTCGAGTGGCGTCTTTTTTATGTCTTTAATATGTGTTCAACACAATAAATATTTAATCTATTAATACTTTGGATACTTCACAAACTACTTCAACTTCAATATTGTGGCTCAAGATAAAGGCAGCAGAGACACACTCACACACCCACATCCACAGAGGTACAAAACATGAAGCAGGCAATGAAGACAATCCAATGAAGAGCCATCCAGCAAAGCAGGAAGGAAGGAAGAATTGACTTCGTTTTTAAAAGTGCTTTGGTGGAGTAGCACAAGTACAGTTTGAAGTATCCAACAGTGGCTGAACAATGGCGTGGCTGAGGAGTTAGGGAGGGGTCGAACTTGGGCGGCAATAGGCGCCGCTACTGTTTCCCCCAAAGATAGCAAAAGGGGTTTGGTGCAAACATCGAAGTCATAAAAACCTGATGATGATGAAGAAGACATCTTGAAAATTACCAATATAAGTGCCAATCATGGATGAAACAAAATAAAAAAAATCTGTTATTGTTCTTTGTTTTGTTCTGAAAAAAAGTGAAGAGAACATAAAAATGAACATAAAGCGAATCATAAACCATTAAGCCGGGGCAGAGAGAAAAAAACAAACTGCGAACTTCGAAAATGCATTGCAATCACCCATCATCAACACTTTTGCCGTAATGCAAAACTGCCGGGAATGAATTGCGAAATAATTAATTCAATACCGAAAATTCGTAGCAAGGGTTGGCTGATGAGTAGCCTCTATGTGGTGGAGAGGGTGGAAGTGGATACTGAAATGAGTATCTGAAAAGGAGGGAGCAATGTACACACTTTACAAATTGGACAAATATATGTAAAGTAGGTTAAAGAGATGCGGAAAAAATTGTACTTTAAGGATACGAAAAGTTACAAAATGGTAGAACACTGTCGTCGGGAGTCAGATAGGATTTGAAGCTTTTTAAATTTTGAAAGGGGCTCGCCCTTTGCGCTATTTTCAAGTTCTCACCCTTTTCGAACGATCACTAAGAATATTGTACCATTTTGTACCAATTCCAACTTTTTTAAGACTTTCTTACAAAATTTCGAAGCTCTAGCCCTAATTCATCGATCAATAATAATGTTGTTTGTTTCGTACCTTTGTATTAAGAATTTGGAAAATCATAGAAAATTTGTGGATTATTTGTGGGTGAAATAAGGTGAGATTGTTGGAAATTTGTATTTAAAGAGTACGAAAAGTACAAAAAATGGTACACAATTGTTATTGATCACTACATTAGGGCTACAGCTTAGAAATAGCGTTTGAAGGTTACTTGTTAGTTAAAATAAGACAGGTTTTTTATGTTCGTAATATAAAAGTACCAATAAGTACACAATGGTACGGCCCTATTATTGTCGTACCGCAAAGAGATAGAGCTATCATATTTTACAAGCTACCCTCATACTTTAAAAAAAGGTGGGCTTCGACCAAATTTTCGGTACTTCGTTTTTCAAAAGTACGAAAAGTACAAACAAGGTACCAAATGTCACAACATGTTTTAATGAAATATGGCCGGCTTCGAGAGATTCGTACTTCAAGCGTACAAAAAGCGCTAAAAGGTACAAAATGGTACATAATTAATATTAAACGATGGATTAGAGATAGAATTTGAAAAATGTGCTGGACATCACTAGTGGATGATTTGCCTGAGGGCCTCTTTAGGGTGAAATAAAGTGTGATTTTTTGTGGAATTTAGTTTTTGTAATATTACGAAAAGTACAAAATGTAACAACATTGTTATTGACTTTTCAAATGTACTAGTATTTATAAATCGCTCTAGGAGTACGAAAGACGTCAATAGGTAAAAATGGTACGATACTGTAATTGTGTGACCGCAAAGAGCTCGAGCTATGAATCTTACTTTGGGTACAAGACGGTATTAATGCCACAACATTTTATTGAGCGACCGATACGAGCTACAAGTTTGAAATTTTGCATAAGGCTCAATCTTGGATTGGAATAGTGGTACGTCACGGAAATTTTGTGACCGCAATGAGCTAGAGCAATGAATCTTATTTTGCGTAAGGGGCTAAATTCGATGCTTTATTCTTCAAAAGTGCCAAAAGTATACAGGGTGAGATAAAAAAAAAATGCAACCAACTTCAGACTGCTGTCATTTCTAAGCCACTCGTCCGACAGCTGTTAAAATTATTCCAATGATAGCTCATTATATTTTTTACAAGCGTACAAAAGCGTTTTGGTGAGAATTTTCCAGAAAAAAAGTAATTCGTGATGGAATTCAAGCGGGTTAATGAGATTTCTTTATATTTGGCTGGAAAATCACAAGTGGCAATCGTTGGAGCACTCCAGCATTTAAATGTGAATAAATCTTTTGTGTCTCGTACGTTGCGTAGTCCGACGTCAAGGAAGTGAACGGAAAAGAAACAGCAGCATCAGCAAAAATGGTTCGAAAAGTAAAGAAGCGACTCGATCGAAACCCGCGTCGCATTGGCCGAAAAATGGCTTGTGAGCTGAAAATATCGCAATATTCCATTCGGCAAATATTGAAAAATGAGCTCGGGGTAAAGCCATTGAAATTCCAAAAAGTGCAATAACATACGCAGCAACAGAAAAAAATAGACTCAAAAGAGCTAAAAAGTTGCTTCGCTTGGCCGAAAGTGGTGAACTGCCGAATTTGGCTTCCTCCGATAAGAAAACATTCGTTGTCCAGCAGTTTGTAAACAAACAAAATGATCGTGTTCACTTGCCAAAGAGGTCAGCTGAAAATATGCACCTTCGGTTGGCCATCAGAACTCAAGCGCCGGCCATGGTGATGGTGTGGGCCACCATAACAGCCGATGGTCGCTCTCTGCACGTATTAATCCACCGTCGCATTAGAATAAATAACGAATATTATAGCGAAAATATTCTGGAGGTTGTATTAAAACCTTGGGCACGCAAACATTTTGGCCGCAGACATTGGACATTCCAACAGGACTCAGCACGCGCCAACCAAGAATGCTTACGAAATGAGGTTCCTCGCATCATGGCCACAATGGCCACCAAAATCTCCGGATATCAATCCGTTGGACTATTGTGTCTGGAGTATTTTGGAAAACAAGGTTGGCACTAAAAAATACCAAAGTGTCGATCAAATCAGCAAGCGCTTTGCCGGGAATGAGCCAAAATACCGCAGAGCAACATTCGGGCAACGTGTGACGGTTTCATTGGCCCTTTGAAGGCCATAATTCGTGCCAAAGGTGACCAATTCGAACAAATCTAAAAATATTCCAAAATTTGATCCTATTTCCGACATTTTTTGTTTTCACTCAATAAAATTTAAAAAAAATGTAAATATTATGGCGTTTGACTTTGTTGCAGTTTTTTATCTCACCCGTAGAGATTGGTGAGGGAGACGAGATAACGACCCTTTAGAGATAAGGACACCTTAAAACGTCAGTTTGAGTTTTAAGGGCATATATTTAATATTTAATGTAAATAAGTAAATTTCCTTAAAAAATAAACGTGACCCATAAACCCCAAAGAAGGCAGTTTACTTGATTTATAATAACGCTGGCCAAGAAAATACATTGTTGTTGTTGTTGTGTCTTCTTTTTTAAAAAACAAGACCTATCGCAATTAGCTATAAATACATGTCTGTGTATATGTATGAAAGTAAGTAGCATTCTGCATTCTATGAATCACTTTCATTTGGGTTTTATAAAATCAGTTTAAATCAGGAAATTTCAATTTTGATGCAATTTAAAAAAACACTCATCATTATTTTTGAGAACAGTTAAATATTTTTTAATTATTATGATTTGAAACTTCATTACGACATGGATAATTTGCAACAGCAACAATGACAAATTTATACAACGTGGCAAATTTCTATTCCCAATGCCATCAGATGTTAATGGAAACATTCACGCTTGGATTCCGTCAAATGGATTGGAAATTTTTAGAAAGATTTAAAATTTTAAAGGGCCTAGATTTCAAATTGTGAAACAAATATTTTAAATTTGCTGGCTCAATTAATTTACTAATGAAATTTCGAATTGTTTTGCATAATGGTCCTGGCTTATATCGCAAAGACTGTAGGACTTTATTGGTAGAAGAACTGTCCATTTATTTTATTTACCGACCAAAAATTAGTAAAATTAAAAATCTTATAAATTTTTTGGCAAATAAAGTAGTCCCTAAGATCTACCCATAGCAGATTTTGGACTTTTCATAAATATTTTTTCTTTTAAATTTTATAGATATTTAATTAAACTAAAGAAGTAAGTTCGAAAATCCCACTACAAAAATGGTCCTTTTTCAATTAACAATCCTTGATTAGAATATCGTAAAATATGTCATTCAATATAATTTTATAATTCATTTCTTTCCTCCTTTTCCAGCAATACACAACTGGCATGGTGACGTGCGTTGCGGCTTGGCCTTAGATGTCGGTGATTCGGTGGAAATTCTAGAAGAATGTCCCAAATGGTTTCGCGGCACATGTCCGCGCAAATCGCGGGCGGTGGGAATATTTCCCAAAACCTATATACACATAAAAGACTTGAGCAAAATCGATCCGGTCGTTGCCGAATGTACACAAGTTCTCCGGGAATGGTCGGAAATATGGAAGAAACTGTTTGTGGTATGTAAATGGAGAATTTATTTTGATAAGTTTGTCTCATTGATTTTCATTTTTTTTAGGATCGAGAAACCTACAAATTCACAACGTTACGCAAGGTGATGTTGTCAATATTGGAAAGCCGTCGCGAATTGTTGGGCGCCACTTTAACCCAAGATCAAACATTGGAATTGCAAATGACTGTTGTGTCGAAAATCGACTGGGGTAATCGGTGAGTAAATGATATTTATTTAACAAATCAAAATTTAACAACGGTACGAATTTCCAAATATTCCGCCACATCTCTCCCAAGAGTGATGATCATACCAAGTTATTGCATAAAAGTTGCTGTCGATCGGCTTGCTTTAAAGAAGAGAGCAAAATTTCAAATTTCCATCCAACCCAGAAATTTCCAAAGATTTATCTCTTGACGATCGCTCCTTAACAGTATTTCGCCATGATGTAGTTTCTTTGACTTTTAGTACCTCCTTCTTAATAAAATATCTCATAAGAGTTTTTCTAATTATTGGAGAAGTTCTTGCATCTATAACAGGCCTCCAAAGAGCCTTCCATCTTCGAGGCGTAAAAATGAAGGAGATGATCACCAAGCTATAAAAAACCTTTAGAAGATCTGCTAACTATAAAAGACCTCTAGAGGGTCTTCTAGAAAATATTTTATCTATTATAGACTTCCAGAGGGGTAGATCTCTCTCTAGGGAAGATTTATAGATGCTTTTTTAGCTATAAAAAACCTCTAGAAAGCCTTCTATTGATAGAAGAACTACAGGAAGTCGTATATTTGCAGTGGACCTGCTGAATGGATCTAACCATAAATAACCTGCAGAAGATTCTTATTAGATCCTCTATGTAAAGAAGACCTTTAGAAGATTTTAAAACCTGCATAGGTCTGATCATTTAATAAGGTCCAGTGGAGGGTTTCTTCTAAAGAAATTCAGAAAAAACAAACCTGTGAAGAAAGGACAAAAGATGGGTAGGGCCGACAATATATGCATGATTAGCAAAGCTACGCCTAACGAATTCTAGTCGAAACATGATAGAATGATCCAAAATCAAACCTAATTTGCATCGAATTTGATCGATAATTTTCAACCGATCTGTATCTGACATCTTTTAAGGAATGTAGTTCTGAACCGGTCTTATTTATAGATTGTTTTCGAACTTATTTGCCAAATCTCATTTCAATAGGGTTCGCCCGCTAAGCAAATAATATTTAAAAAGTAAACGGCAGACAGAGTGAAGGACGGACATGCATAAATCGACTCGGAATTTGATTCCATGGAGGTTATCATGGGTAAACCTCTCATTTGCATGTTACAACTAAATCCGCAGAAATAATAACCAGTACCATAGTGAGTCGTATAATAAATCCGTGAAAATTTAAAGCATACTTTTAGGATGGCGAATTAATCGTATCTTGTAGAAAAAATAAAATGGTACCTAGTAGCATAATAAAAAATTCATAAAGGCGTAACCTTTGCAATATTGTTAATTCGGCATACTCAAATATATTAGTATACCCTACACTACAAGCTGGTCTGGGTATAATGTCTTTGTGCACTTGTTTGTAACAGTCAAAAGGAAACAAGATAGACCCATAGCTCATTTTGATGATCTGTATATAATCAAATTCTGAGTCGGATTATGCATGTCCGTCCGTCGATGTATTTCTGTAAACAAAGTACAGGTCGCATTTATAGCCCGATCCAGATGAAATTTTGCACAAATAATTTGTTTGAGCCAAGTACGAACCCTAATGAAATTGGAGATCATCGGTAAAAATTTAGATATAGCTCCCATATATATCTTCGTCCGATTTGTTTTTTGTATTGTCCACCAAACTACACGCCCAAATAGAATGGAATTTTGCATATACGACCAAAATATGCCTGGAAATAAGTATGCCAAATTTAATCGAAATCGGTTCGGATATAGCTATAGCTCCCATATATATTGTTTATCCGATTTATTATATTTTTTATTTGTTATCTCTATCTTTACTAAATATGCAAAGGGGTGTAAACTATCATAAAGTCGGCCCGCCCGACTTTGTGACTTTCTTTTCTGGAGGCTACATCAAAACATTGAGCAATATAGCTAATCTTCGAACTTTACCTGCCTGCAGATAAAAAAACAGATATAGACAGAATATTAGCTTTCAATCACATGCCGTTTGGTCTCTAGCTTGATTACGAGCGACGGTCATGCCCAATCGGCTCAGAATTGTACGATGATCAAGAATATATGAATATACTTTATTGGGTCTAGCTTGATTACGAGCGACGGTCATGCCCAATCGGCTCAGAATTGTACGATGATCAAGAATATATGAATATACTTTATTGGGTCTAGAATGAGTTAATATATTCTCCATAGTATGAATGGTGTAGGGTATAACAAATGTGGTGGGCTTAAATTTGCTACCAGAGGAGCCAGTAGCACTCACAAACATAATATACCAAATTTTAAACAATTTTATTGAAAATATCGCAAAGATCATTAAAATACCTAATATCGGAAGGGTTCTTTATTTGTTTTCTGCAAATTCGTTGGACAAATGTGACTAAACCCCAAAAATACCTTTAATCGGAAGATACATTTTTTGTGGACGCTTTACTAAGTCGTGGACTTATATTGCCCATTTTCAGTGTCCTAAGTTTACGGGCTTGAGTAAAATTTTAGTAACCTTCAGTCCCAGTTAGTAAAAGTGAGACATAAGGGATACAGGACTCCCAACCTTCAATTTCGAAATGGTCGAACGTTATCTTGCTGTGCCGCCGTTACTTATTACGTTGTAATGAGAGAAATAAGTTACTTTGTTTTGTACTTTTTTAGGAATAATCCATTATTTTCAGCCTACGGTAATAGCGAAGGTAGTTTGTTGAAATGGGTTATTCGGCTCATACAGCCCCCAAGTTTGTGCGAAAAATTAATGCTAACATATCTAGTCCGGTACAGCTATTAGAGGATTATGGATATGTCTTTCGCTGATTGGCTCATTAACATATGGTTACACATATTACTTAACGTTGGGACTAAGTCTTGATAGCTTAGGTTAGTCGACCGCCCAAATTAACAGAAGTATGAACAATACCATCAAGTCGCTTGTTGGCTGCACTTGAGGTTTTACAAAACAAAAGGTATATAAGGCCAAATAAAAACTGGATAATTCTGTCGTCCAAATTCGTATTATATGGAGATTCAGTGATTTTCTGTAAACTTGGCACATCGCAGTATTTTTACCAATCTTAGCAATCTGTTACCTTTTCTACAAAAGCTCAAAATTTTTCAAAAGAAAATAAAATAATCATTTTAGCACAGTCGTTGCGTCGTTAGCTTCCAAAAACAAAGAAAGGCCAACAAGATATTTCACAGTAATATAACTATAAATCTCCTCTTTAAGGAGCTGCTGATATCGGGATCCAGAAGGATTTCTAAAGTCTTTAAAAAAGCAAGAGGCTTTACCAGCCATATAAGCGATCGAATCAATTCATTGGGAAAATGTTGTCACTAAATTAATTTGGATTTTAAAATCTTATGATTTAATCATGCAATATCACACACTTGCCATATTACAACAATTTAATGAGAGAAAAATCTCTCAGTAGTCTCTCAGGGACTTTTTCAGCCTAGAAAACCTATGCGGACAGCTACGTTTCTCTAAAGAATCTGCGATAAATATAGGGGAGTATTACCCCTTAGAAAAATTGGTTCAAAATATTTGATCATAATGAAAAAAAAAATACTTATCATACACTCTCAGATAATTTTTTCGGGATGTTATATAACGAATGACATATTAAATTGCCAACTCTTACTATGTAGAGTATAATGACACAATTCCACTTTTGCGAAACTAGTCTTTACCTAAACCTCAAATTCCCAACTGCTTAAATATTTATTCAAGGGTAGTTGAGCTGAAAACTGTTTCAACAAATACTCAAATAACAGTTTCTATTTATATTTAAAATCGTAAATATTTATTTTAAAAAAAGTAGCATACAAAATAATCTTGTTTCTATCATCATAATCACAATACTTTTGTTTATAAACACAATTTCTAAAATATATGTAGGTGTAGTTCGGTGTTTTTTTTATAAAAATGTTAGCATTATTATCATCATTACTATTATTTAAAAAAGAAAATGTTTATCGATATAGCTTAACTAAAAAATTCTAAAAAAGTGAATTTTCGATAAATATTGAGAAAAAGGAGAGGACATAAAGTTATTACATAATTTATAACAATTTGGAATTTCGATATAATATTATTCAGTTTAAAAATGGAAGCAATATTTCATGGACAAATACAATAATCAGGGACAAATACATATATAAAAAATTGTATGCTATATAATAATTATTATTGTAATTATTTTTTAAAAAGTAATCTGTTAAAACTTATATATTTTCTAATATAATTGATGGCGTTTGTGTTTTTTATGGTATTATTATTAAATTTTAAATTTCGAGAAATCATTGAAACATTTATAAAAAAATGTTTTGTCTTTTTTATACTTAAAGTGGAGAAATTGAAAATATGATTTTGGGGCAGTGTGGCGTTTTGAAATTTCCTATTTTTCAATTTGGCCTGGTATTTTTTATAAAAAACAAAAATTGCACGGAAACTTGTGAGTGATATTTGAAAAATGAACTTGGGACAAAACATTTGCTTTTATAGAATTTTACAAAACATAAGGTTTTTCGATTAAATATTAAGATTTTGTAAAATGCTTTTAGTAGTCTCTATTACAAAATAGCTATAGCTGTGTCTATTATTATTATTTTTTAAAATAAATCATAAAATTTAAAATTATATAAAATTAAAAAAAAAATAAATGAGAAATCATTTGTTGCCTTTCCATCGTCGTCTTCTTCGTCGTCGTCGTCAGATGATGATGATGATTCATTGCATTGGAATTATTGTGTTGTGTGTGTGGACATTCGTTAGTCTTCTTTTGCACTTCCTTTTTTTGTTGCAGTGGCTTTTGTATTTATGTTTCGGTTTCCTTGCCAAAGCTATCCACTTGTGGATAAATTGGATGCATTTCCAATGTTGAGGGGGCCGATGGTGTCCTTGAGGTGCCCAAGAGATTACACAATTCCTGTACCATTTCCGAATAGGATTTCGTATTCACATTCTGGCCAACAAAATGCAATAGCAGGAAGTCACCAATCTGTAAAAAATAAGAGTTGTTTTTTTATAATTCCATTTTTTGAGTGTGTGTGTGTGTGTTTGGTTTACTTACATCCAAACGTCTAACAAGACTTGAGATTTCTTTGCTCTGGCCGGAACGATATGAGCGTTTGATGATGGTTTCACGTGTGGTGGGCATGGTCACAACCATGAAAGAGTAGACCATGGCAACGCCAGTGATGACAGACAAAATGATAAACCAGAACCTAAAAGATAATTAAAAAGGGAATAGATTAAAATCGAGTCAAGTTTCGAGTTAAAAATTCAACCGATTTCCAAAATTAAATTCAGCTGTTTTTTTTTTTTGGAAAAAAGTAAATCCCTACTCACCACAAGAAAATATAGATCTTCTCATTCAAAATATTCAAAGCCAACACACACAAAGTGTCGTGTCTCTGTGGTGAACCACCAGGGCCAAATTTGTGGAATGTACATTTAGTGAGTCTAGGGAATATTTCAATCATGGGATCGTAACGTTTATCCTGATCCATGTTGGAGAATTTAATGACATCCGTGCCATAGGTCATAAAGGCTCCACCCAAAAACTTATCCACCAAAAAGATATTCACAATGACATTGACAAAATTCAAGGCTTCGCAAAAGAAATAGGCAAACGAATAGCCGGCATGGGAATTCAAACTATCCATCAAATATTTGATAATGCGATTCTGGCGATCCTTGCGATAATCCTCGGGAATGGAGACCATGCCACGCAGGCCATCCGTGATCATGCGCATTTTGCCATCTTCCATATTCTTCCAGATCCAATGGGGTACATAGAACATGAGACCCTAAAAAAATTGAAAAGCAATGAATTAATTTAAATTTAAAATTTTAAAATAATATTACACCCACCTGAAAGAACAACACAAACGGCACCCACTGATAATAGCTATGATATCGTTTCTCCTGGCCAAATTCATTGCCCAGGCCATGAGCCGCCACATCTGTGCCAATTTGCCGATGCTGTTGACCCGGTATGGTAAACGTATATGTAATCCAGCAGAACGTATTGATGACATGCATTGGAATGGAGCCATCATTGATGCACGAGATGGGATCACCTGAAATTAAACAAAACCAAATTTTTTATTAAATATTTGAAATTCTCTGGGTAAATTGTAGGCAATTTATTCTAATTTAATTTAAACTCAAACTAAAGTCATTTCGAGCTAACAATTTATATTCATAAACCACACACACATATATATAGCATACATACATATTTATGTGTGTGTTTGCATACAACAGCCAATGTGGTTGTGTGTGGATTATGCAATTAGGTTGGGGCTATGTCATGTTGGGGAAAAGTTCTCAAATTGCATGTTAACCCTTTTGGGGAAGTGAAATTGTGGGTTATTTTGAGTTTGAGGGCTATGTTTGGATCGGAGGAATTTAAAACAGATTATGGGAAAATATTTTTTTTTGTGGGAAAAATGACCCGGTCATCCGGATATTAAAACCGGATAATATCCGGTTACGAACCGGATATTCACAATATGGGTTTCATATGAAAGCTTATAAAAAAGCAAATTCAAAAAAAGGTCATAAGACGGTTCGTGGGAAAAAGTCCGATTAACCGGTTACTAAAACCGAATAATATCCAGTTACGAACCGGATTTATCCGATATGGGTATTATATGAAAGCTAATAATATCTGTCCAAAATATGATCATACGATGGGGAAATTTTTTATCGGTTCAGGCTATCCGAATACTAAAACCGGATAATATCCGATTACAAACCGGTTATATACAATATGTGTCTCATATGAAAGTTTATAGAAATACGTTTCCAACATATGGTCATACGATTGGGGTGATTTTTAACAATTTCATATACGAAATACCCAGTTATCCGGATATTAAAAGCAAAAAAAAATCCGATTACGAACCGGTTAAATACAATATAGTTGTTAATGAAAGCTTATAGAAATATCTGTCCAAAATATGGTCATACAATGGGGAAATTTTTATCGGTTCCGGTTATCCGCATATTAAAACCGGAAAAACCCGGTTACCAACCGGATATATACAATATGGGTTTCATATGAAAGCTTATAGAGATACATATTCTTGGTCATAAGATGGGGTGATTTGTAACGGTTCGTGCGGGGAAAGAGCCTATTAACCGGTTACTGAAACCGAATAATATCCAGTTACGAACCGGTTATATACAATATGGGTGTTATAAGAAAACTTATAGAAATGCCTATCCAACGTCATACGATGGGGTGATTTTTAAGGAATCGTGGGCAAAACAGGCCATTAACAGGACATTAAAAACGAATAATATCCGATTACGAACCGGTTATATATAATATGGGTATTATATGAAAGCTTATAGAAATACCTGTCCAAAAATTTGTCACGCGAAGGAGAAATTCTTAACGGTTCCGGTTATCCGAATAGAAAAACCGGATAATATCCGAACCGGTTATATACAATATGGGTATCATATGAAAGGTTTTTGAATTACCTATCCAAAAAAAACGACGGCATATTATTAATGGCTCCGAAATAATGCAGATCTTTTTGAAAGCAGATCTCAAAGAGTCGAAAATGGTCCCATTATGGGACAATTAGAAATATATAAAACATTGTCTGCATTCTTGCCTTTAGATGTGTTTATATATATTTGTGTTAATATGTAGGGTTCGCCAAATCATTTTTCCTTTTTTTTGAACATCGAGTGTATCTATTGTTGTATAAAGCTAACTTTTCTTTTTGGGAATAGCTACTTCAGCTAAGTTTTTCCAAAGAAACGATTAAACAGCAAAGTTTTTCTATAAAAAAAATTTATTTCAGCAAACGTCTTCCTAAGAAAAATTAAATTTAGTAAAATTTTTCTATAGAAAAAAGTCGTTGCTCCCAAATTTTCCTATAGAGAATCTCAATTCAGCAACGTTCTTCTAGAGAAAATAACAATTCACGGGGTCGGCTTTCTCCATATCCCCTGAAATGTTAATTCCAAATAAATTTCATATCATCACAATGGGTTAACCATCAGATATATATGCCCCCATATTGCACTACACCACCTCCCATTTGCATTTACACAAATCATCATCATTCATGTCCGAAGACTAAGACAATATGCGGTCATGATGGTATTATCGGGGGGTGTTGGCGGTAGTGGTCATTGTGGCCACTTGTCAGTGTGCGTGTGTGTGTGTGTGTGGGTTGGGGGTCACAGACATCATAGCCATCAGTTCTTTTTTTTTCCAACATTAGATTACTACTTTTCATTTTTCCATCTTTTGGAGCACAACGATGACGTTGGGGCAATGATGCTGAGGTGGAGCCATCATGCGATACCCCGTTTTTAACAATGACACTACACAAATAGTCATTTCAGATTTTTCCACATATCGGCAAACAAGGGAACAGGAAGAGGATAGTTCCTTCATATCTTCCGGGAGTTCGCATTTGCAAAAGTACTCCCCCACAGTTGTCATAGTCAAATGTCATGTTGACCATATGGGGGTACCAAAGGCCAGGCCCCCAGCCTATGTGTAAGACATACCCAATTGAGGGGCCATGAAATGCATTGCACCCAAAGATCCATGATATGATATAGAGAGAATGAAGTACATATCTCTGTAATATACATTTCACTTTAAATGAAGCGTTTTATGCTGAGGGAAAAAGTGTCCTGTCTCTGTGTCCATCCCATTGTCTGCAGTTTATTTTCGTATTCTCTCCGGCTGTTGGGCACTTTTTAAAGAGGATTTGTAACTTTTGTTTATTTGCTACTCCTACAAGAATGTGGTGAAGTTTATCTCTCTCTCTATGTGAGTGCGGGGTGTGTGTTTAGGGTGAAGTGATGAAGTTAGAAGAAGTGGTATTGTGTGCCAAGCTTTGAGGAGAAAATCCCTTGGAAAGAATTGATGAAGTAAGCTGATTTGGATTATTTTATTTGGCTTTGGAAAAAAGTTTGCTGAATATAAATTTTGTGAATTGAGTTTTTTTTTTTTAAAGTAGGCGAAATTGACGTTGGTTCGGAAAAAGTGGGTGCATTCTATGGAATTTTAAACAAACTTTTTTTGATAAAAAAAATTAATTCAGCAACATTTTTTATGGAACAAGTAAAAAAGCAGCTAAGTTCGGCCGGGCTGAACTTGAAATACCCTCCACCATTTGCAAGGAACTTGAAAAATTAAAAAAAAAAAGATCCGAAAACTACCACTTTAATGAAAACCATTATATGGGGACTATACAAAGGCATGGACCTGCTTACGAAATTTTTTGTCATAGGCTGTAGTACCCATTACGAACCTCAAATATGAAATTTAAAACAGTTTCAGTGAATAATGTCGGTAAAATCGTTAAAATATCGGATATCGGAAGGTATCGTCATATGAGAGCTATACGAAAACGTGGACCTGCATACGGATTTTTTTGCCATAGGTTGTAGTACCCATTAAGATCTTCCAATACGAAATTTGAAAAGATTCCGGAGAATAATGTTGCTGAAATCATTAAAATATCGAATATCGGGAGGTACCTTCATATGGGGGCTATACGAAGGCATGGACATGCCTACGAAATTTTTTGCCATAGGTTGTAGTACCCATTAAGATCTTCCAATACGAAATTTGAAAAGATTCCGGTAAATAATGTCACAAAAATCATGAAAATATCGAATATGGGGAGGTACAATTATATGGGGGCTATACAAAGACGTGGACCTGCATACGAAAATTTTCGCTATAGGTTGTAGTACCCATTAAGATTCTCCAATACGAAATTTAAAAAGATTCCGGCGAAAAATATTGCTGAAATCATCAAAATACCGAATATCTCAGGGTAGCGTTATATGGGTGCTATACTAAAACGTAGACCTATATAGACAACTCTCTTCCAGGTGGTAAAGTACTCAGAGGGAACTCATTGTGTGGATTTTCAGACTATTCCATTCAAAAATGTGGCTAAAATCATCAAAATACCGAATATCGGGAGGCACCATTGTACGGGGGCTATACGATATCGTGGACCTATATAGAAAATTCTTTTTCAGGAGGTATAGCAGCCACGAAGAACTCCTTATGTAGAATTTGAGACAATTCCATTGAAAAAATGTGGCTAAAATCATCAAAATACCCAATATCAGGGGGCACCATTGTATGGGTTCTATACGATATCGGGGACCGATATAGCCTATCTTCGAACTTAACCTGCCTTCATACAAAAGACAGATCGGTGCAAAATTTTAGCTTCCCCAACTTTATTCGGTTTGACTCTAGAGTGATTAAAACAGACGGACAGGCACACGGACGGACGGGTCTAAAATTATTATTTCGATGACGGAATGACGAACCCTAGTATACCCTCCATATGCAAGTATGGTGGAGGGTATAAAAAAACTTTCTTCCTCGTTAAGGCCCTTACAATTGTTTTTCAATGTCCGAAAATTATTATTTCGATGAGTTGCAAACGGAATGACGAACCCTAATATACCCTCCATATGTATGAATGGTGGAGGGTATAAAAAAACTCTTCCTCGTTAAGGCCCTTACAATTGTTGTTCAATGTCCGAATCTCTCGAATACTTTTTTTTGGCCAAGCTAAAACTTTGTTTATGGTTTGTTGCAGGCAAGTGCTCTCTTGTTGTCTTGTTATTGGCCATATATTTTCCCACAGTTCAGTAAGCTCATCCTTCCCTCATCCTCCTCTGGTCCCTCTCTCCCCCATCAAGAATTATCATCATTTGAAATGCACCATAAATATTTAAGAGATGGGGCTTCTGCCAACCATATCTGCATGTACACACTCACACAATGGTACTTGAACGGAAAAAGTTGGACCTTTTTGACTTAACTGGGAAAGAGAGAGAACTGGCTTTTTAATAGGCTTCAAAACTTTTTTTTCCGTTTGAGGGACCAAAGTTTTTTATATTTTCTCTCTTTTATTTCTCTTGTTCTTTTTTTTTTGTTCGGAGATAAAGTGGGGATCATATAAAAATCAGGCATACAATGTACATATACATATATACATGCTATATATGTATGTATGAATATGTGTTTAAATTTAAAGATAGGTATATTCTACATGTAAAATATACC